AGAGGCATGTTTTAGTTACTGTTGAGCAGTGCTTGCACAGGCTCAAGGCCTTTTCTGCTCCTCACCCCACCCCACCAGCAAGTAGGCTGGGGGTGCACAAGAAGTTGGGAGGGGACACAGCTGGGACAGCTGACCCCAACTGACCAAAGGGATATTCCATACCATATAGCGTCATGCTCAGCACATAAAGCTGGGGGAAGAAGAAGGAAGGGGGAACATTTGGAGTGATGACGTTTGTCTTCCCAAGTAACAGTTAGGCATCATGGAGCCCTGCTTTCCTGGAGATGGCTGAACCCCTGCCTGCCAATGGGAAGTAGTGAATGAATTCCTTGTTTTGCTTTGCTTGCGTGTGCGACTTTTGCTTTGCCTATTAAACTGTCTTTATTTCAACCCACGAGTTTTCCCACTTTTACTCTTCTGATTCTCTCCCCCATGCCACCAGGGGTGAGTGAGCGAGTGGCTGGGTGGGGCTTAGTTGCCAGCTGGGTTAAACTACGACAAAGTGCCATTCAAAAAGACACTTTCCAACCCATACAAAACAGTTCAAGGGATTTGACAGCTTTGTGAACAAGTTGTTAATATTTTACCAGGGATCTCACACATCTGATCAATAGTTTTAGTAATTTCAAATGCATTCATTTCCATTCATCTCATTTTAAAATTGAAATCACTGATTATTTAGTAAACCTTAGCAACCAGTGCAAAAAAAATAATGAAAAATGCAGAGCAGCCTCAGACAGCTGGTACCAGCTACCATGATGCTGTTACCACATTTTCCTCATCCCCTCTTCAAAGAGACATGAACTTCCCAGCACCTTTAAGCAAACAATGCAAGTAACCAAAGCTTTCCTCCATCCTTCTTCCTAACAGCCATTTAATTTCTTATTTTCCAGGATGTGACTAGACTGTCTTTTATCAACAGATAAAAGTCGCTTTGACTGAGCTTCAGCTGTCTGGGTATACCAGATTTAGACCAGGAGTTCTGTAACCACGTTTTAAAGCTCTGCGCTTGAGATACTAAGGCCTGCCTTTGAGAGCACTAGGTACAGGAGAATAAACTGAAGCTGTGTAAGCTTTAGAAAGCATTAATTTGTTAGTCCACCATTTTTAAAACCTCTTGGTCTCTCAAGATGATTCATAAACTTGTGATTTGTTCTTTTTATTATGCATTTCCTCCAGCAGCTCTTGTTCCTTTTTTTCTTTGAATGATTTAACAAAAGTCATTCTGGAGGTTAGGGTTTTTTTGGTTTGTTTTTTATTTGGGGGAGCGGAGGGGGGTAGAGGTGGGTGTTGTGTTTTAAAAAAAAACAAAACAAAAAAACACCACCAAAAACCACACACAACTTTTGACTACATCCGCAGCAAACATGAAGCTCATATGAAGCCACCTTCTCAAGGCATAATTTCTTTAATCCAGTTATCTACAGTACTTTGCATGTACCTGAAGGACATTAATTTGATCAAACCGCTCAACAGTTTTAACATTACAAAATTAAAACAGTAAAACAGGCTGAATGTACTCAACAAGACTGGACCAAATTTAAAAAAAAAAAACCAAACAAAAAACCCCACAAAAACAACCAAACAAAAAACCCCCCCACACACACACCAGAAGTTAGGAAACTTCTATCTTTCTTCTAAGACAAGATTTTCTTTTAAAGTCCAAGATATTTAACCCGCTTTAGAAGGTTCCCCCAGGAAACTAAAACAGATATATGTTTGTGAATTCTGATGTTAAAATATGTAAAGTACTTGAAGACACATGGGAAGCCAAGTACAAACTAGCCATCAGGTATCTCACCTGATTAAATATGAATTAAATATTGTCAAAGGCTGTATACCTAGAAAACCTACAGTGCAGTAAGATGCAAATTAAACTCTGAAACAAGTTTCACTTTTTCACAGAACTCATTTACTACCCTTAGAAAGCAAAACCAAACTTGCTTCAAGCAAGCTAACACACCCTCCAAAGGCATTCTGACACCCTGAGGCAAATGCTAAAAGCAACCACAGCTGAAAGTACACAACAGTGACACACCGTATTTTCAACTAGCAGAGGGCATCGACACTTCTAAACTGCCAGAAGAATCAAGATCCAAAGATCAGAACTAATGGCCTCAACTACATTTAGTTTCCAGAAGGAGGGTAGACCTACACATCACCTTTCACTGTTCCAAGTTTTGCTACTTTCTTCTCCCTCAGACACAGACGCTATCTGGAATTCAACACAAAGAAATGAATTGTGTTAATTTATTGAATTTTGGCATAAAAAACAAGCAAATAAAAAAACTTTTCCACATCCTAATTTTGAAGTGAGCAGTGAACACAGTGGCAAACCGGTAATATGTACACCTAAATTGTCACACCTAAATATTTCACTTTCGTGCCAAGAGTATACACAGAAAACATCAAAAGTCAGCAGTTGTGTGTTAGCGTAGTTTGACATTTAGTTTACAGTTATAACCTTCAGAAATGGAATAAACAATATACCAGTTAATCTTTAGCTTGAACTGACTCTACAAGAGAAGTCAGGCTACTAGAGTCTGACAACTATTAGTAAGCCATTCTACTTTTCCACTGAAGAACAGAGAGGGCAGAAAAGAACATCAGAATGCCTTCCTGTATGACCCAGACTCCAATGCTGCGGTGACTGATGCAATCTTTAAAGCATCTTTATACACATACAACTGTCACAGCCAGATTTAAAAATAAAAAAAAAAAACCAAACAAACTTCATCAGAATTTCTTGTGAAGTTCTTTAACTCCAACTACATAAATACTATCTATAGTTTAAGGAACACAAATTATGTCATGCCTGAGTTGATGTGTTAACTTAGGGAAAACAAACATAAAAATCTTTCCTCTAATGTAAAAACATCTGAAGACTTGAAGTACACCTCTATATATTTATATGCAAGCTTACCACACTACATGCACAGATTGCCAGAACAGGAGCTCAAAATAAAGCAAGAGAAGTGTCCGTCTAAATCACCAGCACCCCATCTTCCTTCTACTCTACCATTCTGACCTGCCTCTAACAGGTGTATCAGCAGCAAGCAGTTTTCACTCATTAATAATCTGCTACATTCCAGAAATGAGTCAATATAGCTGCACTGACTTTTCAATAAATCCTCAAAGACACCATCACGTCCAAATCTGGCCGTTGTAAAAAGGACATGTCCAAAAACGGGTATAATTTTATTTCTTCTTTAGAAGCACCAAAGTTCTGCTGGTATTTTCCAATAACTAATGATAAGCAAACTCCTCAGCCAAGGAAACTACAGTTATCTTCACGATGCTCCACAATCCCTCTGGCACACTTCAGTTCATCCTTGAAGCTACCTTAGCCAGAGACCCAAGCTGTTATCAGTACATACCAGGCACAAAGATTACATTTATTTCAGAGCACTAATAAACAGGACACACTGTCATTGGCAGAGAGAGAGCACCAAGCATTGAACAGTCTCACAACAGGATCACAAAACACTGGTCAGATATGCTTCAGTAGCCTTCAAAACCTGGCTAACCCATCAAAGAGAGGAAATAACTAGTACGTTCTTCTTTCATGGATTCCAGAACAAAACAAAGTCAAATTCTACATCTAGAATCTGAAAAAGAATCATCAACCCTGCCTCCTGGTCAAAAGAAGTTACACAGACATTTGCTGACAGATAAATAAACAAAACTCCCCCATCCTTATTCAGCACCAGAGACAGAGAACCCCAAGAACGAAGGCAAATTATAAATGGTAGATCACATAAAGCACAGTCAAGTAATTAATACTACATACATGTTCAAAATACAACTCCGTGCCAGAACCATCACCTATACTAACAAAAGCAACAGATGAATCTCACCAGCCTTATAGTCCGAACCACTAGAGATGCAGTGAAAAAGACAATCCCATATCCACTTAGATTGACAGTGAACAATTGTACTCCCCGTTTCACCCCGAATAACTGTGAACTAGCTGCTCACTTGCCACTAGGACAGCACAGGAACAGCTGCTCAGGCTTCCCCAGGACACGCTTCCTCTCAGATGGATAACAGCGCACACAGTAACAGCAAAAGCCATTTAGATTGTTTGACAAATACCTGGTACCTGCCACTGTCAAGTTATTACACCAACTTTGCTCTTCTGCCTGCAAAGCCACTGTAATGTCACACTGCAAACTGAACAAGGAACTGATACAGCTGAAAAAGTAGCCTAGAAAAAGGAAGTTTCCTCAGCAGATCAGTTCCTTAATCCAGTTCACTGTGCAGATTTACAATCACAAAGAGAAAAAATAATGTAACTGAATGAATGGAACAGGCAAGACTGAGCTACATAGCACAGGGCAAAGCAGGTAGTCGTTAATAAGATTCTACCACGTTAGCATTTCTCAGCTTGCATGTGTACAGTTTTGCAATCTTATTTTAATATATAGCATACATTTATGTACCACAGCTATCTGAAAAAACCTATCTTATGCAAAGTGGTGTAATGTTGATAATCACAAAGCATCATCAGCATGGCTTATACCTCTAGAATCATCAAGATTTCTGCTACTTCACTTACAAAGCAATGAACGCTGAAGTAATTTGCTATTATACTCTCAAGAGATAATACTAATTTACATTTCGCCAATATTCTTCATAGGTACCTGTCATGAGGAATGCAGGGATGCAAGAATCCTGCATTTCACTTCAGAATACAGAGGATTAGTAGAAATCTGTTTCTTCTCCCTGTTCCCTACCTCATACACAAATCTATTTTCCTCAGCTTGTCCCTAAATGCTCTCTGGACAGTATTTCTCTTGCTACTCCCAGTGCCATTATATACTTTCCAAAGTAAACTCTGAGCTTATCTGAAACAGCAGCACAGCTCTCCCCACACTGCAGTATTTGTTTCAGCCCACTCCCTAATTCACTCGTTTCAACTGCTCTCTGGCACTATTCCTTTAGTTGAGGTACAGCTTATTTTCCTGGACTACCAGTCCAGTTTTGCTAGCACAATTTGTATTCACACATAAGGCACTTCAGCAGTAAAGATAACATATCTACATATAAGACAACTCTTACTATAAACTTTTCTTACATCAGTACTCGTCCAATAAGATTAAAGTTGAGAATAGTGTTTGAATGATAAGGAGAAAAAAAAATGGACAGTTTTATCACACATTTGTGCAAACTTATATTATTTGTTATTACAGCATTCAGTTCACAGAAGTAGAATTCCCTTTCTTGTAATAAGCCGTAAGAAAATCTTCCCCAACCATTTCCACTTAATGTAGACTTTTTCCAACTATATTCATGGGACCAAGACAGACTGTTCCTCACTGTAACCTAGTGTTCCAGTGTAACCCAAAATCCCAAAAAATCTAACACTTAAGAGGGAAGGAAAAGAAAGAAAAAAAAATTGTGGAAAGTTTTTACTTACTGGAGATACGACTGCCAGTTTACTTTGTTTGCCCGTACTTCAGCAGCTTTAGCAGCAATGATGTTTGTTGGGACAGCAGCATCTACAGCACCTCGGATATCCATCTTAACTGATAATTAAAATGTACCTAGAAATGCAAGTCAGATTTGAGACCTCTTATTAAAGTATTAAAAAGCAGAGTATCTGTCCAATATTTTAAAGAAAAAAAAGGAAAATCTGTTTTCAGGCGTCCCATTCCCTAAAACCACACGCAGTACTTTCTGAGAAATCAAAGTTTTATACAGCATCTAAAATGTGACTTCCCTGAAACAAACAAAAATAAGCCATACCTAGACCCTAAAGTGTAACCAATCACAAGTTTGCTAAAATCAAAGATATATACCATTACTAAATAACTCCCAGTGCTGTAAATTTTCAAGCAGTCTAATTAAGTTATTTGAATAAAGACTACTTTTCTGTAATGCCCAAGTAGCCCTACAGATAACAGAAGCTGTCTTCCTTCCAGATCAGGGCTGATGATAAGGTTTAAAATTCAGTGCATACTTCCCCCATATATTAAGACTGATTTTCTTCAGCTATTTGTCTAAGAGTATTTAGATGTTAGGAATACATGAACTACAACTTCAGAAAAGAAACACAAGTTATATAAATTAAAAAGCATGTTACACGGACTAACAAGAAAATTCAAATCATTGCTGTCCAGAAAGTAAACTGAAAAATAAATATGAACAGAAGCTCTTCATCAGGACACACTACATTACCATAGACAGTGACCTTCACCACTTCTCCTTCCTCCTTCCTTTACGGTTTAATCTCCACCTGACTTTGATGCCAAAACAAGACGTGTGTTTGCAGAGGCTTCAGACCCAGCTGAAGCAGGAATTCCTTACAACCTAAACTGCATCAAGCCTCTCCATGCAGCCTTTCTCTGGACTTTTTTGGCTCCCTTTAGAGAAGCAAGCAAGAGCAAACCGGCACATTCTGCCCCATCCCTAACAAATATACCTCGTTCGTATGACTGAATGAAAACAGGATTCTAACAAAAGCAAAAAAAAAGAACTACCCTGAAAAAATGGAGCAGCAGAACTGCCCTCCCTTTGACACTACTTCTGCGAGCGGAAGCCCACGCAGACGGCACCATTTACTATGTCCTTCAACGACCACGGAACGCTTCCTAGCTCTGACGTGACGAAGGGGCATTTAAACCCCCCCGGGAGCCGCAGAGAGCGGTTTCAGGAGCACGCAAGCTATACAGGTAAGTCGAAGAAGCCGAGAGGCGCCTGGGACGGCGGGGAGGGGAGGGGAGGGAAGGAGGCACTTGGCCCCTGAACTGCCACCCCCCGCACAGGCTCACAGACGCGGCCGGCCTCCTGAAGGGCCCGGCGGAGCCCAAACCCTCGAGGAAGCCGCGGCGCCAGGCGGAGCCCTTCGCGCC